TACTTAGTCATGCTATACATTTTTTTTTTCTTTTTTTGAGACAGAGTCTCACTCTGTCACCCAGGCTGGAGTGCAGTGGCGCCATTTCAGCTCACTGCAACCTCCACCTCCCAGATTGAAGCAATTCTCCTGCCTCAGCCTCCAGAGTAGCTAGAATTATAAGTGCTCACCATCGTGCCAGGCTAATTTTTGTATTTTTAGTAGAGACGGGGTTTTGTCATGTTGCCTAGGCTGGTCTTGAACTCCTGGACTCAAGCAATCCACCCACTTCAGCTTCCCAAAGTGCTGGGATTACAGGCGTACAATTCTTTTTATATATTGCTGTTTTCAGTTTGCTAGTATTTTGTTGAGATTTTAAATCCATATTCATAAGAGACATTGGTTTGTAGTTTTCTTTTTTTGTGTGATACCTTTGCCTGGTTTTGGTATCAGGGCAATACTGGCCTCACAGAATGGATTGGGAAGTGTTCCTCTTCTATTGTTTGGAAGAGTTGTGAAGAATTGGTATTAATCTTTAAATGTATCATAAAAATCACCGCTGAAGCCATCTGAGCCTGGGCTTTTCTTTATAGGTAGTTTTTGATCACTGATTCAATCTTTTTACTTGTTATTGGTCTATTAAGATTGTTTGTTTGTTCCCCCGTCAGCTTCCTTTTTGGGGTTTGTCTGTTTCATCTAGGTTGTCCAGTTTATTGGAATATATTTGTTTACAGTATTACTTAATAAATCTTTTTATTTCTGTATGGTTGGTAGTAATGTCCTCTCTTTCATTTCTGATTGTAATAATTTGAGTGTTCTCTCCTGTTTTCTTGACAAAGCTAAAGGTTTGTCCATTTAGCTGTGTTCGAAGAAGCAGATTTTGGTTTCATTGATTTTTCTCTATTATTTTTCTCATTCTCTCTCATTAATTTTTCCTCTGATCTTATTTCCTTTCTTCTGCTCTCTTTGGGCATGAAAAGTTTGCTTTTCTTTTCAGTGCCATAAGGTGGAAAGTTAGGTTATTGATTTGAGATCCTTCTCCTTTTTTAGTATCTAAAGCTATAAATTTCCAAGTGAGCACTGCTTTAGCTGTATTTCATGATTTTGCTATGTTCTCATTTTCATTTATTTCAAAGTCCTCCTTAATTTACCTTTTGATTTTATCTTTGACCCACTGGTTTTTTAGGAGTATGTTATTTAATTTCCACATATTTCAGAGTCTCCAAAAGTTCTTCTGTTATTAATGTCTATACTTCATTCCATCATAGTTGGAGGACATAGTTTGGACTATACTTATTCCTCTAACTCTGTTGAGGTTTGTTTTATGGACTAGCTTATGTTCTATCCTGGAGAATGTTCCTTAAGCACTTGAAAATCGTCTATAGTCTGCCGTTTTGGGGTGGAGTTATTCATAGATGTATGTTAGGTCTATTTGGTTTATGGTGCTGTTGAAATGTTGATATTCTGCCTAGTTTTTTAAATCCATCATTTAAAGTGGGGTACTTAAGTATGTTATTATTATCATTGAATTTCTCCTTTTATTATTGTCTCTTTTTATTGTTCATTTTCCCCTTCATTTCTGTCAGTTTTTGCTCCTTTTTTTTTTTTTTTTTTGCTGCTCTCTTGTTAAGTGTATGTATGTTCCTAATTGCTATATTTTCCTCATAGATTGCTCCTTTCATCATTATAAAATGTCCTTCTCTATCTCTAGTAACTTTTTTTCCTTTTAAAGTCAGTCTTGCCTGATATTAGTATAACCACTCCAGCTTTCTTGTGGTTACTATTTCACAATATTTTTTCATCCTTTTACATTCAATATATTTTAATCTTTGAATCTCAAATATGTCTCCTACAGACAGCATAGAGTTGGACTCTATGGACTTTTCCATAGAAAAACAAAAAAGAAAACCATGGACTTTCCTAGTATGACAATCTCTGACATTTAACTGAGGTGTTTAATCCATTCACATTTAAGATTAATATTAATATATTGGGCTTACATCTGCTGTGTTTTGTTTTCTGTCTCATGCCTTTTTCATTCTCTTCTTCCTCTTTTAGTGCTTTTATTAGCATTAAGTAAATATTTTCTAATATACCACTTAAATTTCTTTAATAATTTAAAAAATTCATTGGTCAGAGACTTTGAGATCATTTTTTTCTAATAGGTTTTTATTTTTTAAGGTAGTTTTAAGTCTACAGAAAAATTGTGCCAGAAGTAAAAGAGTTGCCATTTAACCTTTCACCACCACAATTTCCACTATTGTTAATATCTTGCATTTCTAGGGGACATTTATTACAATTTATGAATCAATATTGATAATAATTTTTAACTAAAGTCGATAGTTTGTATTAGCATTTACTCTGTGTTGTATTGTTCTGTGGGTTTTAATAAATGCATAATGTCATGTATCCAGCTTTACTGATTTTTGTATTTTCATTTTTTGAGTTATTTCCTTACTGGTTGCTCTAGGGACCATATATGTATTAACTTATCAGAAATAGCTTCAGATTTATATTAACTTAATCCCATGAAATATAGAAATGTTACTCCTTTATAATTGTATTCCTTTTCCCCCTTTGGTATTATTACCATACATATTACATTTATAAATGTTACAATCCCAATAATTTATTGTTATATTTGTTTACTTTATGTCTTTTAAAAAAACTAACAGAAGAAAAGAGAACAAGTATATATTTGTAATTTTTTTATATTCATCTTCTTATTCATCATTTCTGTTTCTCTTAATTTGTTCCTGTGGATTCCACTTACCATCTGGAGTCATTTCCTTTGCCCAATAAGTTTTTTTCCCTATCTACCTTCTTTGTGCCATTGTGGGTAAATATATTACTTTTCTGCATGTTACAGGCCCAACAATACATTATGTGCATATTGTTTTAGACAATTGTGTTTTAAATCAGTTAAAGAAGAAAGAACCAGAACTATGCATCTCTAATGTCTTTTATAACTACATAATTACTTTTTCCAGTGTTCTTTATTTTCTAATGTGGATTTGAGTTACTGTCTGGGGTCACTTGCTTTCAGCCTAAAGAACTTCCTTTAATACTCCTTATGATGCAGATTGGCTAGCAACAGATTCTCTCAGGTTTTGTTTTTTCTTTATTTTGCCTTCATTTTTGAAAGGCAGCCTTGCTGGATGTAGGATTCCTGGTTATTTGAACACTTTGAATGTTACCCCACTGCCTTCAGGCCTCTGTTGTTTCTGTTAAGAACTCACCTGCTAACCTAATATGGGTTTCCTTGTAAGTAATGTGTCTTTTTTTTTTTTCTTACTGCTTTCAAGATTTTCTCCTTGTCTTCAGCTTTCAATATTTTTACCATCTATTTGTGAATCTGTGTTTATCCTACTTGGAGATCATTGAGCTTTCTGAATATGTAGATTAATATTTTTTCAGACATTATTATTATTTTGAGATAGGGTCTCACTCTATCACCCAGGCTGGAGTACAGTGGTGCAAGACAGCTCACTGCAGCCTCAACCTCTAGGACTCAAGCAATCCCCTATCTCAGCCTCCCGGGTAGCTGGGACCACAGGCACGTGCCGCCATACCCAGCTTGTTTTTTTGTATTTTGTAGAGATGGGTTTCACTATGTTACTGAGGCTGGTCTTGAACTCCTGGCCTCAAATGATCCTCCTGCTTTGACCTCCCAAAGTGCTGGGATTACAGGCGTGAGCCATAGCACCTGGCTTTTATTTTTTCAAATATCTTTTCTGCTTTTCTGCTCCTCTCCTTGTAGTCTCATTATACACATTTAGTATGATTAATGGCATTCTATATTTCTCTGATGCTTAGTTCATTTTTCTTTATTTTTTTCCTTGCTGTTCTTCAAATTGCATAAACTGTATCAATATAGCTTTAAGCTTGCTATTTCTTTCTCCTGCCAGTTCACATCTATGGCTGAGTCCCTCTAGTGAAATGTTCATTTTAGTTATTATGTTTATAAACTCCAGATTTTCCATTTGGTTCTTTTTTTTATAAAAAATAGAATGTCTATCTTTTAATTGATATTCACCATTTGACGTAAAATTGTCATCATGCTTACCTTTCTTTCTCTGTTTTTAGAGACAGAGTCTAACTCCATCACCCAGGCTGGAGTGTACTGGCACAATCATACAATCATAGCTCACAGTAACCTTGAACTCCTATGTTAAAGCAATTTTCCTACCTCAGCCTCCTGAGTAGCTAGGACTCCAAGCACATGCCACTGAACCCAGCAAATTTTAATTTTTTTTTTTTTTTTTTTTTTGAGACAGGGTCTCACTGTGTTGCCTAGGCTGGTCTCTAATTCCTTGCCTTGAGCAGTCCTCCTTCTCCAGCCTCTCAAAGTGTTAGGTTTATAGACAAGAGCTGCTGAGCCAAGAACCCAGTTTTATTTCTTTAATAATGGTTTCCTTTGGTTTTTATGAGTGTATTTATATTTGCTACTTTGAAACCTGTTTCTGTTAAACCGACATTTGATCACGCTCACAGTCAATTTTTGTTGCCACCTCCCCCCTCCTCCCCCCAGTATACAGGCCATATTTTATGATATTATTATTATTGTACTTTATTATTTCTTTGCATGTATCATTTTTTGTTGTTAGAAACTATGTATTTTGGATAATCTACTGTAACAATCCTGAGTGCCAGCCTCTCCAGGGATTTTTATTATTTACTTGTTTACTTCTTTCATGGTTGATTGAATTACTTTAGTAAAATCTATTTCTCCTCCCCATCTCATCCCTCTGGCAGCGTGAAGGCTCTGATGTTGCTCTTCAGGGCTGTAATGTCAGATATGCCCACAGTCACCTGCAATGATAGTGGTTTTAACTGGGCTTAGTTTGACTGTTTTTCTCTTTCCTTGACCAGACACAACTTTAAACTTAATTAATTTCCAGCTTGATTCCTCTGTTTTCAACAATGCCCCAGGCATAAATTGATTCACAGCCTAATCCAATCAGATTTGGGCTTCTTTGAAGGAAAAGTTCTGGGGCCAGGTATTTGCAATTTGTTCTTACCTGAGGAAGGTAAGACGTCTCTTTCTTCATGTCTTTCCAGCAAACTAGCTGTCCTGCAGCTTCGTCTGAGTGCCCAGCGACTCTCAGTCAACTTCAGATTGCCTTACGTCACAACTTCCACTGCTTTTGAGAGCACCTTTAGGCTTGTACTCTTTCACACACTGTTGAAATAAAGTCAGTTCCTTTGGGGAGAGATCTGGAGCTCTCTGTTCTATGACCTGCTTCTTCCCTCAAACAAACTCTGTGATCCAGGCTCTGGTGTTGGGGGCAGGGATCACAGTGTATTTTCCTCTGAGTGACATTCTTGCTTTGGAAGCTGAATGCTTAGTGGGTGAGGAGGGTGCAGCACCAGGCTGCCGCTTTTGGCATGGAATTTCAGTGTTACAAGCCAAGATAAGCACAACTGGGGCCCCAGTATTCTCATAGCAGCATCCCCAAGATAGAGCCTCAGTATTCTCATAGCAGTGGGGGCTGCTGGACAGAAGAAGGGAACCCTCACCTTTTGGCCACACTGACCCAAAACTTAGCCTCAGCAACAGAAAGCTGGGGTAAAGATGAGAAATGCCAAATGCAATACACCTCCCAGAAAATAGCCCTTAGACTGGTAGCAGGAGGGAGAAGAAGCCCTGTGTTTTCAGCTGCAGTTTGGAGTGAAATCTCCACCTTCCTGAGCTGGGAGAGGAGAGGAAGTATGTTGGTCTTGGTTCAAATATCGCTAACACTTGTACTTTTTAGTTTTAGTAGATTTTCAAGAACAAATGTTCCTTCATTTGCTATATGTTGGTAAGACTATTTCCAGAGACCTTAAATTATTGTTTTCAAAACCAATTTTCATCAGTTTCACTGAGAAGTGGGTCTGCAGAGCTCCTCATGCTCAGTGAAACTCCTCAGTGATAGGGTAGGGATTCTTAATAGAAAGTGGGTAGGGGGACAGCATATCAAAATCCCATGTTCAGAAACATGGAGAGTGGTGCGTGAACTTTGGGTACCAGTGGTAGTGGGACATCTCCCATGAGTGTGATGGGATGAAAAAAAAAAGGCAAAAAATGACTGAGGTTCTTTCCTACAGTTAGGAAGTTACTTGTAGGGATAAATGGATATGCTGTCTACATAGAAAACTCCCATAGATTCCAAGTAGATGAAGAATATAGTTTTATGGTTAATTTGAAGTAATGTAGGCCAGGCATGGTGGCTCATGCCTGGAATCCCAGCACTTTGGGAGGCCGAGGTGGGTGGATCACTCAAGGCCAGGAGTTTGAGACCAGCCTGGCAACATGGTGAAACCATATCTGTACTAAAAAATACAAAAATTAGGCTGGAGTGAGCTGAGTTTGTGGCACTGCACTCCAGCCTGGGTGACAGAGCGAGACTCCATCTCAGGAAAAAAAAAAAAAAGAAATGTAAATAAATTTACAAGAAAAAAATAAACAACTCTATTAAAAAATGGGCAAAAGACATGAACAGACACTTCTCAAAAGAAAACATTCATGTGGTCAACAAACATGAAAAAAAGCTCAACATTACTGATCGTTAGAGAAATGCAAGTCAAAACCACAGTGAGATACCATCTCATGCCAAGTGGAATGGCAATTATTTAAAAGTCAAGAAATAGCAGATTCTGAAAAGACTACTGAGAAAAAGTAACATTTTTACACTGTTGATGGGAATGTAAATTAGTTCAAGGATTGTGGAGACAGTGTGGCAATTCCTCAAACATCTAGAAGCAGAAATATCATTTGACCCAGCAATCCCATTACAGGTTGTATACCCAAAGGGATATACATCATTCTGTTATAAAGATACATGCATGCGTATGTTCATTGCAGCACTATTTACAATAGCGAAGACATGGAATCAACCCAAAGGCCCATCAATGATAGACTGGATAAAGAAAATGTGGTACACACACACCATGGAATACTATGTGGCCATAAAAAGGAACAAGATCATGCCTTTTGCAGGGACATGGATGGAGCTGGAAGCTGTATCCTCAGAAAACAAACGCAGGAACAGAAAACCAAATGCCACATGTTCTCACAAGAGGAAACTGAATGATGAGAAAACATGGACACATTGCAAGGAACAAGACATACTGGGACTTGTTAGCGGTGGGGAAAGGGGAGAGAGAAAGAGAGCATCAGGAAGAATAGCTAATGAATGCTGGGCTTAATACCTAGGTGATTGGTTGATCTGTGCAGGAAACCACCATGGCACACATTTACCTGTGCAACAAACCTGCACATTCTGCACATGTGCCCCAGAAGTTAAAAGTTGAATAAAAACAAAGACTTGAAAGCAAAAATCAATCAATCAATCAATAAAGTAACATAAGGAATTAAGAACATAGTAGTCAAATTGCCTGGGTTTGCTCCTTGGCTTCATCTTTTATTAGCTGTTTAACCTTATGTGAGTACTTAGCCTTTCTGTGCCTCTGTAAAATGGGAATAAATGTCAACCACCAGGCAGGTTATGCAGACTTTTGAGTTTTGCGGGATGGATAAATGAAATTGTCAAATATCAACATGAAATATCAGTTTCAAAGAAAGAATTAATAATGCATTCAATTATGATCAGTGTAGTTAAGTGTTTCTGGGGTGATTCAGAAAGCACTTAAGCATTTTACAGTAACCAAGCATCATGCCTCTGAGAGGAAGAGGTGAGGGAGATGGATTGAATCCAACCTGGCCTGATGACATCCCCTGCAAGTGAATTTTGTAATGAACTATTAAAATTTGTTTAGCTTGCTTGCCATTTTTCTCTGTTCTAAAACAAGAGTACCAAATGTATGAAGAAAAAAAAATCTATTGTTTGGATACTTTGTGTGTGGAGTTTTTATTATGCTACAAACACAACAGGTGTCACAGCATTTCCTGAGGGGTTGAATTAGGTGAGCCATAAGGTTGCCTCCTATCCTTAGAGTGTGTGGTATTTTGTATCAGCATCATCAATACATTTTCCTCCAAAGTCTCACTCATTGTGCTGCCAAGAAGCAGCCCCATGGAGCCACTTTAGTGAAGTAAAGCTTACTCTTAGTCCTTCTGTGATCATTATAAATTCATCATTTCCAGCTGCTCCTGAATGCGTTTCTACCTTTCTTCTTTGCGCTTTACAAATTGTGTAGCTTGGGGGGTGGAAAGGGGATAACTTTAGTAGGGAAGCTATTGCCAAAAACATAAAATGAAAGAACCACTCTTCTTTCTTTCAAATATGCCATCTCAGAGGATTTCTTTTCTTTTATTTTTTCTGTTAAATTACATCTCCTAATTAGGTCATGCCACTGGAGGTGACCTACATTTCAGAAGCCAACAAGCAACACTAGAGAGGCAAGGAAATGGGTGGGAGAGAAAGAAGAGTGGTTTCAAAATGGCTTCAAATGCAGCTTTTCTCAAATATTTCATTATGAGAGAAGTTTTCATAAGCTGAATTTTGAAATAAAAGATGCATTTGTTGGTTGAATGCAATATTCTGAAAGCTTATCTAATGGGATATACTGTGCTTATTCATTTATTCACACATGTTCACCAGGCACATGGTATATGTATACACACAGGTATATATGTGTATTTGTGTGTGTATGTGTGTGTGTACGTATGCAAAGAGACACGAGAAATGATCCCTGCCCTCGAGGAGTTTACATCTGGTCGAAAAGTCAAGATCTTCCCAAGAAGGGTTAGGAAATGGAAGACAGTATATTGTAATAGAGGTCGTACTATTTATCTATTGCTGCAGAAAAAATACTCCATAACCTAGTGTCTTAAAATAATAGACATTTATTATCTTCCACAGTTTTTGTGAGTCTGGAATCCAGGAGTGGCTTAGGTGGTGGTTCTGGTTCAAGATCTCTTACAAAGTTGCGGTGTCAAGATCTTAGCTAGACCTGAGTCATCCTAGTTAGGCTTAAGTCATCTGAAGGCTTGACTAGGATTGGAGAAGCCACTTTCAAGTTGGTTCGCCTATATAAATGGGAGCTCGTGATGGCTGTTAGCAGGAGTTCTCCATTCCTTACCAGGTGGACTTCTCCATAGGGTGTCCTGAATGTTCTAAGTGTATGTCCTCTCCCAGAGTGAATGGTCCAAGCAAGCAAGGCAGAAGCTATAATGTCCTTTATGACTCACACTTAGAAATAATGCATCATTTTCTTTTTTTTTTTTGAGACGGAGTCTCGCTGTGTCACCCAGGCTGGAGTGCAGTGGCCCGATCTCGGCTCACTGCAAGCTCCGCCTCCCGGGTTTACGCCATTCTCCTGCCTCAGCCTCCGAGTAGCTGGGACTACAGGCGCCCGCCACCACGCCCGGCTAGTTTTTTGTATTTTTAGTAGAGACGGGGTTTCACCATGTTAGCCAGGATGGTCTCCATCTCCTGACTTCGTGATCCACCCGCCTCGGCCTCCCAAAGTACTGGGATTACAGGCTTGAGCCACCGCGCCCGGCCTAATGCATCATTTTCATAATATACTATCGGTGACATAGGTGAGTCCTACCAATGTGAAAGGGGGTATACAAAAGCACTAATACCATGAGGTAGGAATAACTGGGGGCCACGTGAGGAGATAACTGCCATAGGTGTCAAGTGAAATGTTTAGAATTTAGGAGCTATAGAAGTCAAGAAGTAAGAGAGATAACTTTGGGTAGGAGCGTTGTATTAGTTTCCTCAGGCTGTCATAAGAAATTACCCCATACAAGATGGATTAAAATAAATAACATTTATTTTCTCACAGTTCTGAAGGACAGAAGTCCAAAATCAAGGTGTCGCAGGGTTCCTTCTGAAGACTCTAGCAGGGAATCTTTGCTTGTCTCTTTCCTAGCTTCTGGTGGTTGCTGGCTACTCTTGGAATTCCTTGGCTTACAGACATATTACTGTCATCTCTGTATCTGTCTTCACATGTTTCTCTTTGTGTGTCTTCACATGGCCTTCTTATAAGGACAAAAGTCATTGGATTTAGTGTCCACTTTAATCCAGTATCACCTCATGTTAATTTAACTAATTACATTTGCAAAGACCCTAATTTCCAAATGAGGTACCAGGAGATAGAACTCAGCGTATCTTTTTGGGGAGCTCAATTCAACCCACAAGTGATCAGGAAAAGAGGGCATGAGGAAACAGAATTGGAGCTTCAAGTAGGGTTAAGATGTGGATGGAGAAAGAATAATACTCTAGTTGATGAGATGTGATCGCCAAGGAAGGAGGAGAAGAAGCAAAGGAAGTTGAGGAACCATGAGTTCTATTCAATAAAATTAGACACAAAAGAGTAAGCCTGATTGGAGAAGAGAAGTGGTAGGA